TAATTTATAGCCTGTATAAATTTATATCACTCTTAACTCTACATGTTGTACTCATGAGGGTATTGAGCATTAGCAGCTCTTTGTGTCCTCAGAAGGAGGGGTGGAGGCTCAGCCGCTAACGCCGGATTAATGGCTAGTGCCCTTTTACTTTCACTTTTTGGCGGCGGCGCAGCCAACTCCTGAGGACTTTTATTCTCTTTCTTTCCGTTAACTTAAGGAGAGTGTAAACATCACCATCCGTCTCAGCAGAAAATGAAACATCCAGCTCTGAATCGCTAGCTGAGGCTATTCTTTCATAACCTTCTAATTCATTTTGACAGCTAGTTTTCTGTCCCTTTCTTGACTCCCTCGGTTCTGTGACCGCACCCGGGAGTGGCTCAGGGGGTAGCAATCTCTCAGGAGGGAGAGGCTCAGGACTTGAACACCCAGCTCCTGGTGCAGCACTTCGCGACCTCAAAGGAATTTCTTCATAATCTTCAGAATCAGACTGAAAAGGCTGTAAAGCTAACGTTACTAAATTAAAAATAGCCCATACATCAGCCTCTATAGCATTTCCCTGATGAGCCCTCCTTAATGACTTTCCAACTTGTTTCCACAACTTAAGATTTAGCTCCTGTTTTCCTTCTGGGTGAAACCAATAACAGTGTGCTGGACTGCCTTAAACAGTTTTTTAAAAACCTCATCCTTCATTTTTACCCCTGTGCTCTTCAATAATGATCGCAAGACAGCGATATATCGACTCTGCAATGACGGGCTATTCCCCATGACTCTGCTTCTATTGCCGAAAGTTCCGCGTACTCTGCGCTGGCAAAACCCTTTCAGTCCTACACGATCCCAGTTACTCACCTTTGGGTCCCTGTTCTGTTTGGGCGCCATTTGTTGATGTTCTTTGTGAACGGTGACGCTGAGATGAGCTTGGCGTGCAGGATTAAGTTTAGAGAAGCAGAGGGCTACCGCTCGCTCAGGCAAGTAGCAAAGCCCCCAAAGCTCTCATGGCTTTTATTTGGGGAGTACAGCAAATAACAATGGAGTACAGCAAGTGACAATGATTAACAGGCATGCCTATGAGATCATCTGAGCTAAGTTATACATTAAACTATTAATTTCCTATGTTATACAAAGACCCTTTCCACCTGCAGCAGTGTAACCTCCCTTAAACTTTCCATGCCCTCATGGACTATTTATCACCTCAAGGAAAGTTCTGCCTCTGAACAATAAGTCTTGCGTGCAAGACTTTGTTCTGACGTGGCCCGCTTGCAGGCCCCCGCCTTTTCTTGGCAGAATGTCCTCTTCTAGTTAGCTTCATTCCGCTTGACCAGCTACAGTCAGTTTTGCTAAATATTGTATGTGTAGTTGAAAAGAATATGCATTATTCAGTTATTAATTTCTCAGTAACTAGAGTTACTATTGAAGTCTTCTAGTTCCTCACTGATTATTTTGTCTGTTTCTTCTATGAGTTAATGAAAATTGGATTAATATACTTTTGTGATTGTGGATATGTTATTGTCTTTTCAAATATTTCCCCTACCTTATCTCTTTTCATTCCTCCTTGGACTTCAATTACACATACATTGGACCTTCTCTTTGTATCCTTTACGTCTTTTAGCTTCTTGTCTGCATTTTCAATCTTTTTGACTGTATTATATCCTTGTTAGTTTTATAAAATCTGTTTTACAGGCTAGTAGCTTTTTATTTAGCTGTGCCTTAATACGTTAAACCCATCCATTGAGTCCTTAATTGCACTTGCCAGTTCTAGAATTTCTATTTGGTTATTTTTCAACATATTATGTCAGTTTATATAATTTCTTGCTAAAAAATTCTATCTTGACTGTTATTATTTAAGCATTATACACATAGGGGTATTTTTAGTAGTCTGTTTTTTTTTAAAAAATATATTTTATTTTTTATTTTTTTAAATATATTTTATTGATTTTTTACAGAGAGGAAGGGAGAGAGATAGAGAGCTAGAAACATCGATGAGAGAGAAACATCGATCAACTGCCTCCTGCACATCTCCCACTGGGGATGTGCCCGCAACCCAGGCACATGCCCTTGACCGGAATCGAACCTGGGACCTTTCAGTCCACAGGCCGACGCTCTATCCACTGAGCCAAACCGGCTTCGGCAGTAGTCTGTTTTTGATAATTCCCTGATAACATGTCTTTTGGGGTCTGTTTCTATTGTCTGTTTCTTTTGAATTTTGTTTCCTTGTGTGTTCATTTAGTTATTTATGCCCAGTTATTATTTTTTAAAATATATCATTATTGATTTCAGAGAGGAAGGGAGAGGGGGAGAGAGAGAGAGAAATATCAACAATGAGAATCATTGATCAGCTGCCTCCTGCATGCCCCCTACTGGGGATTGAGCCTGGGATCCTTCAGTCTGCAAGCCGATGCTCTATCCACTGAGCCAAACTGGCTAGGGTGCACCCAGTTATTTTTGACTGTGCTGGACAGATTTGCCTAAATCATCAAATGCCCTCCATCTTCCAATTACATCTTTGTTGTTGTTAATCCTCACCTGAGGATATTTTTTTCCCCATTGATTTTTAGAGAGAGTGGAAGGGAGGGAGGGAGTGAGAAACATCGATGTGAGAGACACATCGATTAGTTGCCTCCGCCAGGGATCGATCCTGCAACCCAGGCATGTGCTCTTGACCAGGAATGGAACCTGCGACCCTTCAGTGCTCAGGCCAATGCTCTAACCACCTAGGCACACCGGCCACAGAGCCCCATTATTTCTATGAATTTTTTTGTTGACGTATTACCTTGTGAGCTCTTTGATGCTTAACAATTTTAAAAACAATATTTTATCCAGCATTTTAATTAATTTTCAGCAGGTGAGTTAGTTCTTGCTGTATTCTTAGAAACACTAGTCCTGGTTGATTTTTATTTGTTTTAAACATTTTATCCCATATTCTTCACTACTTTCCTCTGCCCACAGTCTAGACTTAATTCCTTGAGGGCAGGGTCTGTGTCTTTTTAAAATATACATATTTTTTTATTGATTTCAGAGAAGAAGGGAGAAGCAGAGAAAGATAGAAGCATCAATGATTGGCTGCCTCCTGCACACCCCCCGCCCCCTGGGGATTGAGCATGCAACCCGAGCATGTGCCCTGACTGGGAGTCAACCCGTGACCTCCTGGTTCATAGGTTGATGCTCAACCATTGAGCCACACCAGCTGGGCAGGGTCTGTGTCTTAATCACTATTTTATCTTACTTAGTGTCTGGCATATGAAAGAGATGAGGTGGGTGGATGGGAGGGTGGGTAACCAATTGGAAAATACTCTTTGGTGATTCCCCTGATTCTCCCCACAGTTTTTCCTTTACTTGGAGAAAAGCTCCCCAGTATGGGCAGCGTCCCCCGGGTATGGAAGAGCATCTTACCCTGATAGCCTTCTTTTCACCCCCATCTTCCTGGAAACAGAAAGAACTTCAGGAACAGGGGGAGATCAGAGTCATCCAGCTGGGCTTCGACCTGGACGCCCACGGGATTGTTCTCACCGAGGACTACAGGACCAGAGTGCGTGTGGCTCGGGGCGCGGGGGCAGGCGGCTCTCCCACCACACCTCCCAGGGCACGGGCTCTGGTTGGTAGTAATAGGAGGGACAGGAAGGAGGGGGAGGAAAGGTATGAGAGGTGGGACGAACTGGGCAGAAGGGGGTCTGCCTCCCACGTGCTGAGAAACGTCCCCCAGCCTCTCATCCCTGCTTCCAGGTCCTCAAGGCCTGCGATGGCCGGTCCTACGCTGGGGCCGTGCAGAAGTTTCTGGCTTTGGTGCTTCCAGCCTGTGGGGACCTTAGCTTCCAGCAGGACCAAATGACGCAGACCTTTGGCTTCAGGGACACAGAGATCACGTGAGACTTGGGGGGCCAATAACATCCGGCGTCTGGCAGCTCCCTGCCTCCCTCCTTCCAGCCTGGCCCTTTTCCTTTTGCTGATCCTGCCCAAAGGGTTGACTTTTTTTTTTTTTTTAGTAAAATCTAAATTTGTATCCTTCCCCCAAGAGAGAGGCCTATCTCACCTGGAGCCTTGGACTTAAATTCAGGCTATCTGGGTGGCTAGTGAGATGGATCTAGAGGCCTGGCAGGGACCACACATGCCTGATGTGAATCACGCTGAGACTAAGAACGCGAGTGGTAGGCACTAAAGCACTCATATTCCAAAGCAGCAGCCAGGCGTGGCGAGAGGGAAATGTCCGTGCCGGGCTGGCCCGGCTCCGGTCCCTACTGTGCACCATGGTATCTGTGAAGGCATTTTATGAGCTTCTCAGTAGACGTGGGAGGAACTGTGGTGAGGCAGGGGCACAGGAAAAAGACCCTTATTTCTCCCTGCGGGTGGGACCGAGCGTGTGTCAGGGCTTGTGGTCAGGGAGGAATCAAGACTGGTTTTAGGCCCTGACCGGTTTGGCTCAGTGGATAGAGCGTGCGGTAGGGCAGCTGGGTAGGCGAATGGGACCAGAGACCTGCTGGGCAGGGGCGGGGAGGAGGGTGTCTGCTGTCCGGTCCCTTTGCCCGGTTGCCCATGTTTCCAAACATTAGCGGTGAGGAGAGGATTCTCAGAGCCGGTTCCCCTCTCTCCTGGCTTCCTACCCGCTTAGGCAGCTGGTCAACGCCGGAGTCCTCACTGTCCGAGATGCCGGGAGTTGGTGGCTGGCTGTGCCTGGAGCTGGGAGATTCATTAAGTATTTTGTTAAAGGTATTCTGTCTGCAGCTCAGCCCTCAGCCCTCCAGAACACCTTTCCGGCCGCAGGCCTTACTCCCTGCTCCTGTCCACCTCTCCAGGGCGCCAGGCTGTCCTTGGCATGGTCCGGAAGGCCAAGTACCGGGAGCTACTCCTGTCGGAGCTCCTGGCCCGGCGGGCGCCTGCCTCGGTGAGACTCGGCCTTGCCTACCATGTGCACGACCTCATCGGGGCCCAGCTGGTGGACTGGTGAGTCTTGCCCCCAGCCTCTGGCAGTGAGAGCAACAACCCAGAGCAGAGATGGGTTTCCTTCACTAGGGAAGTCCAGCTCCTCTCTCCTCCGGAACCTGGGAATGTTCCTGCCAAGTTCTGAGTTCTCCCCAGACCTTGGCCCGCGCGTCTGGATCAACTGTGTCTTTCTCTTGCAGTGTCTCAACCACTTCTGGAACCCTTCTGCGCCTGCCGGAGACGTGAGGGTCTGCTCACCGCGACAAGCCTTCCCGGAGCCGGGCCTGGGGGCCAGGCGTGCTGCCCAGCAGGGGCCGAGCCAGGGTCACCTTGCGAAAGCTTGGCCAGGAGGATGCGCGATGGACCCGAGGACGTGCAGTGCCAGGCGTGACTGCTGCTGTTGACCTGGGCTCCGGGCCAGGGCGGGGTTTGGGCAGTGCTTCGGGGGCCTGTGGACATGGAGCCAGACCCCATGCCAGGGCCATGGCCGCTGCCTCTGGGGCAGCACGGTGCTGCTGTTACTGTCTTGGGGTAGGAAGGCGGGGTTTCCGAGGGGCAGGTGAGGGGGGCGGGGTTCTCTGCCCTACATGTTGGATTGAAACAGCCAAATAAAGTACTTCTGCTGGTGCTCCTTCTGGTGTCTTGTTTAATGTGGTGGGTGGCTCCTCGCTCGGGGGTAGAGGTAAAGCCACAACTGGGCCTAAACGTGGCCTCATTGTTCAGAGGAAAAGGGGTGTTGAGGTCAGTGTCCTTGGGGGGTGGTGAGGGGTTTCTGAAAAGCACAGGCCTCACGAAGTTCCCTTTTGTGGGGTTCACAGTGGGAGGCCCGCATCTTATCGCCGTGTTTTGTCGGCCTTGGCAAAGGAACCTGGATTCTCTGCCCGGTGCTCCGCCCAGGCTGCCGAGCGGTACACAGACACCACACATGCCCAGGAGGGGAGGTGCCCAGGCACTGGCATGAGGGGCTAACGGGAGGGGAGGGCGGGCAGGGGGAGGAGAACAGGACCTCTGGGCCATGATTTCCTCAGTGACCCAGGTGTCCGGGGTGCCCCCCTGCCCCCAACACTGGGCCTGGGGCCAGCTGCATTTCTCGGTTGTCACGTGGTTTCCCAGCTTAGCTGGCCCAGGGGAGGAGCAAGGTCCAGAGTCTACTCTGCTCCAAGCCCGAGGCCAACCAGAGAGGAGCAGACAGACGCACGGGTCTGATCGCTCCTGGTCTTGCAGCCATGCGGCTCCTCTGGGGGCTGATCTGGGCGTCCAGCGTAGCCTTGTCTCTGCAGGAGCCCAGGTCCTGGCGCGGCGGCTGCTGAGCGGGGGGGCTGGGGGCCGGTGGGGCCGCTGCTGACCTGCCTGTTCTCCCCAGGTTGCTCCTGTTTTCTCCTTCCGTGGTTCACCTGGGGGCCCCCCTGTCGGTGGGGCTCCAACTCCAGGATGCTCCTCGGGGACAGGAAGTGAGAGGGTTCGTGTTCCTGAGAAACCCGTCCCATCACAATGCCCCCTGCTCCCCGAAGGTGGATTTCCTCCTCACCTCGGAGCAGGACTTCGTTCTCCGCAGCCTCCAGGTAGCTGGCCGCACCTGTCCTGCTGTGCTTGGCAGCCCCACTCCGTCCCCGCCGCCTCTGGCGTCATCTGCTGGCGGCCTCCTTCCCTGGCCGTCCAGCCTCTGGCTTTCTCCTGCTCTGTCTCTGACCCGCTCCCTTTCCCTCCCCCTCACCTGACAGATACTCCCCAACGGTGCCGACAGCTGTGGCCTCAAAAGCCTCCGAGGAGGCCCCAAGATCCAGCTGGTGGCCCAGTCGCCATGGCTGAAGAGCTCTCTGTCCAAAGACGTGGACACTCAGGGCATCAACCTGCTCTTTTCCTCTCGCCGGGGGCACCTTTTCCTGCAGACCGACCAGCCCATTTATAACCCTGGCCAGCGGGGTGAGTCTCAGCCCCAGGGCCTCTCCTGCGACCGCCCCCTAACCCTAGCCCTAACCCTCACCCCTTACCTGAAATGGCCGGAAAGTGCCGCCTGGAAGGCGCCTGGCAAATGTTTGCTCTCCCCTCACTCCCTGCCCGTCACTGCTGCTCACCTCACCCTCCACTCCAGTTCGGTACCGGGTCTTTGCTCTGGATCAAAAGATGCGCCCATCCACAGACAGCCTCACGGTCACCGTGGAGGTGAGTCCCTGACCTCTGACCTTCCTGACCAGCTGGGGCTACTGATCTGACCTCCCTCCCGCGACCCCTTTCCCCGTCGCAGAACTCTCAGGGCCTCCTTGTGCGGAAGAGGCAGGTGTACGCCCCCTCATCCATCTTCCAGGACGACTTTGTGATCCCGGACATCTCAGAGTGAGCTCTTGCCCCAGTTCCCGGTTGCCCTGCTCCCCACTCCAACACAGGGTCAGACCCGAGCTCCCTGCCTGTGGTTCACCCCACACCCTTCCCCAGGGAGCTGGCTGGCTCTCCCAGGTCCTCTGCACATGCGGGCTGAGCCCCTCCCTGTCTGTCCTCAGGCCAGGGACCTGGAAGATCTCGGCCAGATTCTCGGACAGCCCGGACTCCAACCACAGCACCCAGTTCGAGGTGAAGAAGTATGGTGAGAGCCCGGCCGGTGTGGCTCAGTGGATTGAGCCTCGGCCTGCAGACTAAAGGGTCCCGGGTTCGATTCTGGTCGAGGACCTTGGTTGCAGGCTCCTCCCCAGCCCTGGCCCTGGTCAGGGCGGTGCAGGAGGCAACCAATCGATGTGTTTCTCTCACATCTATGTTTCTCACTGTCTTTTCCTCTCTCTTCCACTCTCTCTAAAAATCAATAGAAAAATATCCTCGAGTGAGGATAAACAAAACAAAACAAAACAAAACAAAAAGAAGTACGGTGAGAGCTGGAGACAGGAGGGCCAGGCAGCTCCTTTCCTGGAGGGAGAAGGCAGGAAGGGGGTGGGAGCAGGCAGAGGTGGGCGACCTGGGTGCCACCCCCTGCGGGAGGGAGTCCTCCAGGGCCCTTCCCCTGGAGTCTGACCAGCCTGCCCCTTTGCCCTGGGTCAGTCCTTCCCAACTTTGAGGTGAAGATCATCCCTGGGGAGCCCTACATCCTGACGGCAGCTGGCGTTCTCGGTGACATCCAGTTAGACATCCAGGCCAGGTAACCTGCCGGGCTCCCCTCAGTGCCAACACCACTCCCTCCTCCCGGCCCCTCCGCCCAGGCCACGCCCGCATCCCCCTCCCCGTGCTCTGTGGCTGCAGGTACATCTACGGGAAGCCCGTGCAGGGGGTGGCGTACGTGCGCTTTGGGCTCCTGGCTGAGAATGGTGACAACACTTTTGAGGGAGGAGGGGAGGGGGGGAGACCGGTGTCACCTGGCCGTTTTCTTCTCTGCCCAGCTGGCGGAGGGCCAGTGCCACATCTCCCTCACGAAGGCTGCGGTGCAGGGCGCCCTGGGGAAGCTTGGCGTCCAGCCGGCTGACCTCCCGGGGCTGCGCCTCTACGTGGCCGCGGCCGTCATTGAGTCTCCAGGTGAGTGCTTTGCCCGGTTGTGACTCCAGGCCTAGCCTCTGACCTCTGAGCTGACCTCTGTCCTCCAGCACCGGCAACCGCCCCCCTCCCCCTTTACCCTCACGTGGGACCCACAGCCAGGAAAGAGCCGCAGCCTCTCCACCTGGGCTGCTGGGAAGCAGCCCTGCCCCTCTGTTTACTGTTTCCGCTCATCCGTCCACCCCGTCCATCGACCCGTCGGTTCTTCCCCCCACCCCCCTCTCAGCATTTATGCCCTATCTGTGCACTGGTCCTGGTCGCTCAGCAAACGAATGAGGGGGAGACGGCCTGTGCCCCAGGAGCCGCCCCGGCTCTCCTGCCCGCTCCTGGGCCTGCTCCTCCCCCCGTCCGTCTTGCAGGCGGAGAGCTGGAGGAGGCCGAGCTCACATCCTGGCGTTTCGTGTCATCTCCCTTCTCCTTGGACCTTCGCCACACCAAGCGGCACCTTGTGCCTGGGGCCCCCTTTCTGCTGCAGGTTTCCTCTGCGGGGGAGGGGCGTGGCGGGAGGGCGCGGAGGGCGCCCCGCAGGAGGGCCCATGGCCCCTCTTCTCTCTTTGACCTGCCCCTCCACCCACCCAGGCCCTGGTCCGAGACATGTCAGGCTCCCCCGCCTCTGGCATTCCCGTCAAGGTTGCTGCCAAATTCTCTCCGGGATCTGCTTCTGAAATACATGATCAGCGGAACACAGACGGGCGCGGCCAAGTCCTCATCTCCATCAACGTCCCTCAGACCACCACGGAAGTGCAGCTCTCCGTAGGACTCCGGCCCACCCCGGGGCATGGGGAGGAGCTGGTGCCTGGGTCCTGGCCACTGACCCTGCTGCTCCCGCCCACCCCTTTCTCCAGGTGTCTGCCGGCTCCCCCTATCCAGCCACAGCCAAGCTCACTGTGAGAGCCCCACCCTCCGGAAGCTCGGGGTTCCTGTCCCTGGAACGGCTGGATTCTCAACCCCCTCGAGTTGGGGACACTTTCCGCCTGAACCTGCGAGCCGTGGGCGTCCGTGGGGCCAGCTTCTCTCATTACTACTACATGGTGTGCAGGAGGGCGGGTGCTGGGAGGGCTCGGCGGCTGGGAGCCCAGGGGCCGGTGGTTTCAGGCTGGGCGCGCAGTGAAGAGGGAACCACTCTCGCCCCAGGTCCTGTCCGGGGGACAGATCGTGTCTGTGGGCCGAGAACCCAGGGGGGCCCTGACCTCGGTCTCCGTGTTTGTGACCCACCGCCTGGCGCCCTCCTTCTACTTTGTGGCCTTCTACTACCACGGGGGCCTCCCAGTGGCCAACTCCCTGCGGGTGGACGTCCAGGCTGGGGCCTGTGAGGGCAAGGTAACGCATCGGGGGTGGGGGAGGCAGGAGAAGATGAGAAGCAGCGCCCCCGTCTGACCCGTCCCCCCCGCCCCTGCCCCCTCCCCCGTGCAGCTGGAGCTGAGTGTGGACCAGCACAAGGACTACCAGCCTGGGGAGATGCTGAAGCTCCAGCTGCACACCGACTCTGCGGCCCTGGTGGCCCTGGGGGCTGTGGACATGGCTCTGTACGCCGCGGGCGGCAAGGCCCACAAGCCCCTGGACATGGGCAAGGTTTGCGAAGACCCTCTCCCCGGCCCTGCCGCGTCCTCTCGGGCTCATCCCAGCTGCCCGCCCACTCCGCCCAGCCTCCCTCACGCTGGGGCCTTGGGCCTTATTTCCCCTCTGTCTGTGTCTCACATCTGTCCACCCTGCCCTCGCCCACAGCCAGCCCTGCCCCTCAGCCATCTTGTCTCCGCCACAGCCCTGCCTTTTCTTGCCAGGTCTTCGAAGTCATGAGCAGCTACGACCTCGGGTGTGGTCCTGGGGGCGGGGACAGCGCCCTGCAGGTGTTTGAGGCGGCTGGGCTGGCCTTTTCTGACGGACACCAATTGACTTCGACCAGAAATAGTGAGAGCAGAGGAGGAAGCGGATGGGTGGTGGGAGGCAAAGTGAGGAGGAGGGCCCTGAGGGGTAAGAAGGGAGGAGGGGCGCAGGCACGGGAGGCGCCCACCAGGGCTTGGCTGCAGCCCTGCTCTCTCCCAGGTCTGAGTTGTCCCAAGGAGCAGAAAACCCGGAAAAAGAGAAACGTGAACTTCCAGAAAGCAATTAGCGAGAAGTGTGAGTTGTGGGCGCGGGTGAAGCTGCTTGCGCCCCGGGGTCAGGGGGAGGGGTCTGCCTCTCGGCTCCTCTGCTCCCCAGGGGCCAGGCTGTGGGCCAGAGGGCCAAGTCCTGGGTTGGCGGTGGGTGGGCAGGAGGCTCTGCGCGGCCTCCTGAGCTCCCCGTGCCCAGTGGGCCCTCGGTACCTGGAGGTCCGAGTGGGGCGGAGGTGCGTCCCGTGCTCCCACT